CTGAGGCAACGGGCCCCGCTGGCCGGAGCCGCCGGGCAGAGGGCGCGGGAGGGCCGCTCCTCGGGAAGGGCCGCGGCCCCGACGCTCGTTGCAGGGCTCGGGGGCGGCGGAGAGCGACCCGCGCTGACCCCAGACCCCTGCTTTGGGGCCGTGGCTTCGCCTCCTGACATCCCGTTGGGGCCGAGGGCTACCGCGGTCGCGGGGCCGCCGAGTGACAGGTGCCGCCGCCCCCTCCCCGCCGTGGGCATCGCGCTCCTTCTTGGGGAGCCGGGCGCTCGGAAATTTCTGGAGCGACATCCTGACTCGCTGTTTTCTCCCTTTCAGGTTTTTGTAGCCGCTTCTTTGCTCGAGTTAGGTCTCACCGAGCCCTATTTCTTTCTCTATGTACTTTGTGCGAGTAAGTTTTGGAGCATCGGTTAACAGCCTGTGGGTGAAATTTGGCTTTCGTTCATGAATGAGGTATAGTGAATTACTTTTTGAATAAAGTGCTCCTCCTCCTCTCCGCTAGCTATTGAGAAGTAAATGAGGAGGCTTTTAAATTGTTTGTTTGTTTGTTTTGCTATTGTTTGGAACAAGCAGTCTTATCAGAATTTTGTCAGGTCTCTAACATTTAAGGTGCTTAGTAGATATTGAACAGTCAAGACAAAAAAAGGCCTATTAAATATTTTTTCTGTCCAGCTTCTTTTAGATTTTTTATTCTTAGCCACATTTTACAATCGAAGAGTTACAGCTTTCATTAGAATCACTGATGATAGATCTCTTTTTTTTTTTTTTTTTTACTGAAAAGCCAGTGAAATTTTTTTCTACACCATTCAGTATTGTCTATAGTAAATGTGCTTGTGATTGTAACCGGAATCATAAATAAATTTGACATTGCAACTATATCAGAGAAACTTTACAGGAAATTAAGATATAAAAATCTTTAATTTGTGGAAATATAGGGTTTTTTTTCTCCTCTCAGGTTTATAACACTATAGCTGGTATTAGTCAAATCCTAATCAATGGAAGATATTCTTAATTGTCATAAATGGTTACAACAGACTTATCCATAAGATTCCAAATAGTGGCTTCACTCTGTAGACCAAAAGCAAGAAACTAGAAGCTAACCAAAAGAACATTGGGGCAAATGAAAATAACATATGCTTTATTCAGGGGAGAAGTCCTCAGTACTTGTTTATACTTTTTACTTGGATTTTTCAGCCCATGGAAATTAGGCATCGCTGATCGGAGAGGGGAAGCAGTATTTATGAAGAAAAAAAATGGAATTTAAGGCAAACATATTAAGTATATGTGATTTGTTTGTAATAATTGTGTTAGCAAAGTTTTGGTATACATTTGGCACTTGGTTGTGATCCTTCATTTATAAGAAGCTGAAGTTATTTGAGGAACAGAGCATGAAATAATACAATTTTTAAATTTCACCAGGTATTAAATCACTGATGCTCAATGCCATTTCATTTTATGCTGGGTTTTTTTTTTTTTTTAATGTAAGCTACATTTCAATGAGACCACACTCATTGGCATCTATATTGTATTAATTTTTTTATTGGACAAACTGATTGATAGTGTTAATGGAAGAAGAGGACTGTAATTCACTTTGTAAAAAGGCATCAATTTGGTTGTCTTAGAAGATTTTATACATGTACATCAGTTTTGAAGTACCCTAACTGCGATTCCTTGTACTGAGGTATGGCCACAGCTACCATCTTTCTTTAACTTAGAGAAGTCATAGTCTAGAGGGATGAGGTCATAGTGGCAGTGGTCCTCAGAACTTTGGTAGAGGAGACCAACAGTAGCAGTGATTTTGAAATCGTGCCCCTTGGAGTTTAGGCTATTCATTTTTAGTAGAAGTTTAGTTTAAGAACCTGATGTAGCCTAATTCTTTTAAATCCACACTTTAAAACCAATTATGTTTTCCTAAACAAATGTTTCCTAAACAATATTAGTTGTAGAATGGCACTTATAATGAAGTAACTTTGAACTTCTAATAATCTTGAATTAATATTTGTATTATGGGAATTGAGGATTATGTATAGTGCATTTTGCATTTTCTTTTGCTGTCCATTCTGCTTTAGAGTATGTCTTTCAGTGCATGTATAGCTTTGTACTTTGGGAATATACATATTTAAAAAAAAATTCAGATGCAATAAATTTATGTCATGCATCAGGTCTTGTGGTATTTGTTAGGGATAGAAAAAAAGAGGCCCTTTCCTTTCAGGATCTTAAAATATGATGGAGATACAGAAGTTTAAGGATTATAGAGGGCTAGGCATAACAGTAAACGATAATTTTAAATAATTCCATTGAATAACAAGAATAAGTGTATAGTACAGAAATATTACAGAGGAGAGAATGACTAATTCAAAGGGCAAGTCAGAGAAAGCTTTATAGAAATACCTGAGTAGGATTTTGAATCATAAATACAAGTTTCAAGTGGAAGAGATGGAGGGCATTTTAGGCAAAGGGAATAGCATAAAGATACAAAGAAGTAAAACTAACGTGTTCAGAAAATTTTAGGTAGTTTGTTTTGCTGGCACAAAATCTGAGGAAGACAGTGCTTATAAAAAGCCCTAACATATTTAATAAGTTATTTAATAAGTTAATATTTAATAAGTTAAATAAAATTACTAAATTTTTTTCAATGGTGAGCTACCTACATATTTATATTTGTGGACTTATTTGTTTTTTGTGCATTTTGACCTGAATAATTTGTTTTTTAATTGTGAATTTTCTTCCTTCACAATTACTTAAATTAGCCTGTAAGTTATATTTAAAATGAGACTCACAGGAAATAGGGGAAACATATGAAGTAATCATTAGATTTCTGGATTAAAAACCTAATTCGTGTAGCATTTTAGCAATATGTAAATGTCTGTTTTATAGCAGTAGCCACCACATTCAGAGACTGAGCAACGTAGGTAGCTTAGTGCAGGGGTCCTCAACCCCTGGGCTGCTGACTGGTACCAGTCTGTGGCCCGTTAGGAACTGGACCACACAGAAGGAGGTGAGCGGTAGGAGAGCGAGTGAAGCTTCATGTATATTCGTAGCCGTTCCCTAGTACTAGCATCACTGCTTCAGCTCCACCTCAGATCATTAGGTATTAGATTCTCATAGGAGCACTGGTCCCTGGTGCCAAAAAGGTTGGGGACCACTGGTTAGTAGACGTTAACTATACTTAATTTTTTTATATAGTGTATCTTAAGTCCATATCATTTAAGTGTATATAAATGGCAGAGATTTTAAAGACTGTATGAGAGAGAAAAAAAGAAAAATAGTAGGGGGAGGGAGAAGAGCTCTATTTGAATTTATTCTCATATCTTAGATATGACTGTAGATGGAGATACAGAAGTTTAAGACACAAGACTGAAGGAATACCTAACCCTAATCATGCCCTGAAATGGTATCTTCTAAGAAGCCTGATTTTTTTCATGGTTTGCCTATTCGTTTTTCTCTTCAGGGTTTTAAAAAAAAGTTAACAAATGAATTCCTGAATTGTATAATGTAAGTATCTTTTTGCAAATTCTGAAAAATTTGTTAAGGAAAGTAATGTTCTCTTAAAAACACAACATAATCAGTCTTTGGCATTTATCTTCTGCATCACTAATCTAAAGGACCTAAGGCATCTCATTGTCAATTCTGACCCGTAGTTGCCCTTTTTAAGTTTGACACAGGGCAGAAAAAAAAAAAATCAATATTGCATTGATTACATCATGTTTACCTTTTTGAATTGGGTATAGATGACCATTTTCCTTTTTCAAGGTAAGATTTTTTTTCTTATAGAAGAAATGTAGAATATTTGAAGAAATAGTGAAAACTATAGAAAGGAAAATAAGCCTAATAAGTAGTCCTAAGCATTTTCTTCTTTTTGGTATGTATATAAATAATAACATTTATAGATTGGGGATTATTTTTATATTTTTATTCCTTTTCATTTAAAATTTACATTTCCCCCTCTTCTGAAATACTGGGTAGTGTACTTTTTGACATGGTACATAGATTTCTTTCATGGCTGTTGAGGTAGATCATGTGTTGAATGTTATGTACTATATGTAGCACAGATGATTGAGCCCTTCCTTGATGATTGTCCCATCTCTTCACTCTCAGCTGCTAAGTAGAGCTATTCTTTAATATTTACTATTATGTAAAGTATAGTAAAAGTGGTTGCCACTATCCTGTTCTCCTTTTTTTGTATTCCTACTCCTGACTGAAATGGGATCATTTATAGCAGCAGTCCCCAACTTTTTTGGCACCAGGGACCAGTGCTCCTATGAGAATCTAATGCCCGATGATCTGAGGTGGAGCTGAGGCAGTTATGCTAGCACTAGGGAGTGGCTGCAGATACAGATGAAGCTCCCTTTGCTTGCTCACCACTCACCCCACCTGCTGTGCGGCCCAGTTTCTAACAAGCCATGGGCCCGTACTCGTCTGCAACCTGGAGTTTGGGGACACCTGATTTATAGGTGAGCCCTTTTCCATTCTACCCTTTCATAAGGTAAAGTATTTTAGTACATGAGTTGCCAAGGTGTAGCATAGGTAGCTGCCTCCTCAGAAAATCAATTATTTTGTCTTTTGAGTGTTTATCATTATTTTCTCAGTTTAACAGTATTTGTTCTAATGCTTTCTTTTCATCTTGTTTTTTTGTCTTTCATTATTTCTTTTCATTTTTTCAACAAACACATTGTTTGCTATGTGCCCACTATTTAAGACATAGTCCTTACTGTGACTCTTGGGTTTCAGGTAGATTGGTATTTTTCTTCTGCAGTATATTAGGTGTAATCTTTAGGTCTGACTCTTTTCAGTGGCTCACTGCTCAACTACTACTTCTCAATGTGTAATAACTTTTTGTTTTTTTCATTTCAAAGATTAAAACCTTAGCTTTTAGAAGGGCCAGGTGTTGATTTGTTTCAAAACACTTTTTGTAATGGAGTCAGACATGCTTAGCCCAATTTTTAAACAGCTTATGCCAATTCTTCTGTGCTTCATAGGACCTCAAGACTTATTTTAGTTAACCAGAGTAAGAACACCAGTAGATGTTAACATTTGAGTACTTCTGCTGTACTGGCTACTGTTCTAAGCACTTTATTTATATAACTTATTCAGTCTTTGCAACAACTCAATGAGGCATTCTTGTCCCTGTTTCACAGGTGAGGAAACTGAGAGGTCAGGTTGCTTAGGGGCTCACAGTAAGCAGCAAGTTGATTTGACCAGGCATTCTTGCTCCAGGTCAACACTCTTGTGTTAGTACTTTTCTGCCATGTGACTTATGCATTACTAACGTAAAGGACCAGTGGCATCTCATTGTCCCCAAACTGAGAGGGGGTCAGTGGTGTCTCTATAGAACTGGGTGGAAAAAAATGGATTACATTTTCTTTACAGTAAATGATTAGGATAGGTAAAAACATAAAGTATATTAGGAAAAATACTAAATGTTGAATTTATATAAAACTTCAAAATCTTTTCAGGTTTCTAATGAGAAGACTGTGCGTGTGTCCATGAACATAAATTTTTAAATAAAATTTATCCATGAAATTAGAATACATAATTTCTGTTCCAGACTTTTAAATTATACTTTCTTTTTATTGAATTTCCATTAAATTTTGTTTGGAAGTGAATAGGTAACAAAACAAATCATTTTTGCTGTATAACCATTCAGTAATTTATAAGTTAAAATTATTTTAAAGAATCAAAAATCCTTTCTTGAAAATGTAATACAAATTTTTTTCTGACAAAATGAAAGTAATTCAAATTCAGTTGGACTTTTTAACTTTAAGTGTTTTAAATAATGATGAAGCTCTAATTTGCAGAAAGCATGTGCGTTGTTTGAGTAGTCACCTTGCAGCTAGATTTTATGCCATTAAAAAGACATGTCACTGGCAAGTAGGGGGAAATGTCTGCTATTTGTGAATATAGAGATTTCAGGCCATTGCTTAGAACCTTGCTCAGTAGGAGATTTTGTGCTTCCCTACTTCTGACCCCAGCAGCTGCTCCCTGTATTACATACCTGTGTTCTGGGCACCTAGAACACAAACTCTTTCAACAGTTCCATGGGCTTATCTGCCATGATGGGTGGCAGTGCATTCTGCTGCTGTCTGATGAAGTAGATTTCCAGGGGATTGAACACTTTTATTGGCACAGTTGACAAATAACTACAGAGCAGCATGTGCAGGAGTTGTCCTCTGGGAAGCATCAGAGGAAGCTGTTTGCATTTGGTGGTAACTGGCCCAGAGTTTCTTAATTCTCCAGGGTTTTCATGGCTGCCCCAAGGACTAAGGAAAACCTTATCTGGGAATATACTGGTAAGGAAACTCTGCCCTATGTCCCAGAAAGAAAATTTCTGTGAATTTCGGAGAGATGTTTCAGAACAGAATTTGTGAACATTTTACTCATGCAGAACAATCCAAATATGAAATTCACAGTTTTGATATCATTCTTAGAATGGAAAAGAAATTCATCTAAGATATCAGTCTTTATAAGGCTACATTATACTGCAGTAACAACTTGAAAATCTCAGCAGCTCAAAACATCAAGGTTGCTTTCTTACTCAAGCTACATGTTCATCACAGGTTAGTAAGAAGAATTTGTTCATTGTAGTTTCAGACTCCACCTGACTGATGGAGACTCCGTCTCAACATATGCTTCCAAAGTCACAGAAGCAGGGGAAGGAGAATATGATGAACCATGTTCTGGCTTTTAAAGCTTTTGAAGGCTTATATTTCACTGGACAAAGTCAGTCACATGGTCTT